CAGCCCCAAATGCCCTTCTACTGTCACGGGCACCTATAGTAAGTCACTTGCCCTGTTCCCAACCCTAATTATGTGTCTTGAAGCAGGACCCTGATTTGGCTGCACATGGCCCTTCTGCTTGTTTGAGAATAATTTAGCTGTAGATGCACTTGGGGTTTTGTGGCTTTGGATACTGGTTTTGAATCTGAAATGAACTCTTGAGAAACTTTCCTGATTTTGTAAAGCGGAATCTGAACTGTCCAAGCTGAGGGAACTCAGGCCTGTCCTCTCTCCACTCCAGAATCCAGTTAGGAACCTGACTACACTTTTTGGATCCTTAGCCAGGCATGCTTCTGCTGATCCAGCACTGATCTGCAGATTCATCACTGATTCTGCTGATCAGGGAGGCAATCCCTGAGCAGTTCTCGATCATGCTCAAAATGTAGCCCCAGTTCTGGGGAAGTTGTGAACTGGCCAAGCTTCCCATGGAGCTGGCTCCCCTAAGTTACAAAGGGACTTCACTACACACTTCACTACCTTTGGCAGCTGCATTCTGTTTTTTCCCCACCAAGTTCTGTGGAGAGAAGGGGCTTTTGCCTACCCAGCACAGGGTGCAGTGTTCTCTGCTCTGATGTTCTGACCAAGCAGCCCCTGCAAGGCAAGCCTTGGGCTTTGTCCTTTCTCCTATTTCTCACACACCTCAAAGGGAAAGGCTTACTCTTGCAGATCCTGGAAGGTTTTCTCTAGCAGATTATTTTGTAGGGCCACCCTTTGCGTATACACAAAAGGACAAACCCTCCCCCTGACCGTGTGATGTGTGTATGTGCTCAGAACCCTGCTTGGGAAGCCTGTGCTCCGGGGCTGTGGCACTGGGACAGTTGGAGAAGGCACGATGCTCCCAGGGGCCCTGAGCCAAGCTGTGCCTTAAAAGGGCTGATCTCTGTTGTTGTGCTTGAGAGGTTTCTGCAGGCCCTGCACTGTCTGTGGCACAATCCCATAGACCTTGGACTCAAAACCCTTCAGAAATTGGTGTTTCTATCCACAGAGCTCTTCCACAGCAGCGTTTTGCAGCTGCACTGTGGCCTTCAGCAGTGCAGAACTATGCAAGACCATCTCTTTAAGGGCATTGATGATAAATCTGGCAGCCTCTCCCTGGCTGGCTGAGCCCAAGCTGAACGCTGGGGTCTGATTAAATTTAATTCTGTCTCAGTCTGGAGTCTGGCTGCCTTCCCTCATTTGCTGCTGCTGAGTGCTGGGAGTACAGAAACTGTAGCCTCCTGGCCCCGCAGGCCTCTGCCAGGGACATGCTGCCATCACTGCTGCCATGCAGGCTGAACCACACCTGGAGTTCACCAAAGTACTAATACTGTATGGCCTTAATCTTACCCAGTTTATGGGGCTAACCATGACTGGAGAAAAGGCTTCCAGATGATGGTGGGGAAGGGATGTCTCCGAGAAGCTTATCTCAGTGTTCTTGCATGCCTATGGCTGACAAACACGTTACAAAACATGCCCTCTTCTGGTTTTCCTTAACTGCTACTGACTGGGAAGAACAAGTAAATCCAAAGCTAATAATTCTCTCCTCACGGGGCAGCTAAACTTGACGGAATTCTTGCTATGTTGCAGGGCAGGAACATAAATTATTATCAAACCATTCTGCCGGTTTCCTTTTCCACTGCTGCATGTGTGTTTGTGTGTGTATGCAGACCTGTATGTATAGATATATTTATATCTATACCATATACAGTCATACGAGCTCTCTCACAGCCAACTGCCTTTCCATTCAAGAGGCGCATCCTACAGATGCTGGGTGTATGGACAAGGGGTCTGGCAGCTCCAGGAGAGAGCCAGCAGTGGGACATTGCATACATGCCAGGAATGCTTTGGAGAGGGGCTTTTGGAGTTTGCTTTATTTCCTTCCCAAGCTCCTCAAATCTGCCGTGCACCAGGATTGAGCCACAAGTCTCGTCTGATCGCAGGCATCTGATCAAAAGACCCCAGTCCCAAGGTCACTCACAGCTTTTTGGAGCCAGGGGCTGTGAGGACGTCTCAGCAGGCACCTCCCCGGCATCTGCTTCTCTTGCAATTCAGCCTAGGGAAGGAGTATCCAGGGATTTGTGCGTTCTGAGTGCTGGAGCATGTGTGTGCTGGAAGCCTGAAAAAGCCTGCTGGGACATTGGTGTGGGGCTGCATGGAGCTGAGCCTGTGTGTGCTCTGTCCCACAGTGCTGGCGTGCGGCCGTCCCCAGGCCACGGCGGTGTACAAGGTGTCCGAGTACGCCAGGAGGTTCGGCGTCCCCGTGATCGCCGATGGAGGGATCCAGACGGTTGGGCACATCGCCAAGGCCCTGGCACTTGGTGCCTCCACAGGTGAGCACCACTGTAGGGAATCTCCAAGGAGGTGTTTCCATATGGCATCACACTGGGCGTGAGGGCATTTACCTGCAGGTGGCTGGGGGCATGGGGGCTGCAGCCAGTGCTGAGCCCAGGAGCCCTAAGGGATTTTGCATCCACTGCCACTGCTGCTGACGTGCTGTTCCTGGTGGTATCTTATGCCAGTGATGATGGGCTCCCTCCTGGCTGCCACCACGGAGGCCCCAGGCGAGTACTTCTTCTCGGATGGCATCAGGCTGAAGAAATACCGCGGCATGGGCTCCCTAGATGCCATGGACAAGAACTTGGGCAGCCAGAATCGGTATTTCAGGTCAGAGACGGTGCTTTGGGGCAGCAGATCAAGCTTTTGGGGATTCTCTGCTTCACAAATACCCTTGATTTGTGCTTCCATGCAGTGAGACAGACAAAATTAAAGTGGCCCAGGGGGTCTCCGGTGCAGTGCAAGACAAGGGCTCTATCCATAAATTCATTCCATACCTAATTGCTGGGATCCAGCATTCCTGCCAGGATATTGGTGCCAAGAGCCTGACACAAGTCCGGTGAGTGCTTCCCGATGCCTGTACTCTGGTTAGGTCATGGTGCTGCTGTCTGGAGTCCCTGGGCAGCTGTACTCGAGCTGTGGTGTGTTCTGGATAGTTTGTAGCTCTCCTTCCTCATTTCCAGTGGGCACTACATAATGTCTGCCAGCCCCAGGGATGCAGGAGCATGGTCTCTTGTGGTATATTCAGCTGGCTGGGCTCAAAATGTTGGGGTTACATTACCCAGCCTGGTTCTTGGGAGCACAGCAAAGACCATTCTGGCCACAGCTGGAGGAACCAGTGACCATCATCCCAGCTGCTCCAGCTGAGCATGTGCCAGAGCACTGTCTTTCCTGGACTCTGCCTGACTTGTGACAAGTGTCCTTCCCCCTCAGAGCCATGATGTACTCGGGAGAGTTGAAATTTGAGAAGAGGACAACGTCTGCCCAGGTTGAAGGAGGGGTGCACGGCCTTCACTCGTAAGTGCTTCTGGCAGGATCCTTGTCACCTTGGGGTTGGTGTTGGGGGTCAGGAATAGCCACCCTGTACCTCAGCTGCCATGCCCTTGGCTTGGTGTGCCATTCATTGGCTTGCCCTGGCACAAGCCGTGGCAGGGTGCTGAGGCTGGTCCCCTCTCTGGGCTGGCAGAATCCATTCCATACTGCACCTTTGTCCCTGCCCTGAGTGAGGTGGGTCAGTAAAGGGGCACCCTGGTTCTGCTTCCCTGGCAGGTATGAGAAGCGCCTCTTCTGAAAGAGATCCGTCTGTCTGTCCTTGTGCCACTCAGCCCTGCGCTGCTACGCGTGGGAGCTGCTCTTGCTGCAGAAGTGCCATTATTCTGGGCTGCCTGGAGCTCCCGCTGTCCCTTGGCTGCTTTCTGACCACCCATGGGGCCCACCTTCCACCCAGGAGCTGTGAAGCTGTGACCCTGGGCTGGAGCCTTGCACATGTTGGCCATGTTTTACAATAAAAAAATGAAAAGATGTGCAGTTGGTGTCAGCCTGGAGCCCCTTTTCCTTCTTTACCTCCCTTGCTCTCCTTCCTTGGCTCTGTCCCTTGCTTCCCACACTGTCAGAGGCAGTTGATAACTGCAGAAGGGACTCCATGCATGTGAAGGGCAACAGGGAGGGGAGAGCCCTGAGACAGGGCTGAGTGGGTAACACGGCATGGCTTCTTTAAAAATCCTTCCTGAGAGCAGAAAACAAGGGCTGGGCAGCTAGTCAAGAAATCAAACCATTTTACAAGGCCATTATCTGCTGCTAGGAGTTGCCCAGCCCAGCTGTGGCAGCAGCCAGGATGCTGCACCCCCCTGGGCTGTTCACTGTGGATTACCTGCCCGGGCTCCAACAGACCAATTTTTTGCTGGAAGGTGAGCAATAATGCACTTGGAGTGGCACAAGTTTATAAAGGAGCTGGTCTGTATTTCTGCAGGCCTGAGCAGTGCAAACTTCCCTGGCTTGGCAGGTTTACCTGTGCTTCCAATGCCAGGAGCCAAGAAATATTTCACACCTATCAATTGTACATATCCCACATGTCACTGCTGCTGAAGAGTGTGTCAGTGGTTTGGGGATGTCAGATTTGATTTATACACTAAAACCAGAGCCTTGACTACAGTGCCACAGAGCTGGTGTCACACACTCATTAGGACACTTGCTAAGTAAAGCCACCCTAACCTTGTACCTGCACCCCCTGCCTTTGCCTGCCAAGGTGGCAGAGTTCAGGCCATGAGCTTTCCATTAGGTACATGTACTCTCTTCTCCAGGGGTGACATCCCTAAGCATGTACCAAACAGTGGGGTACAGGACAGTGACCCTTTCCATGTCTCCTGCTGGAGCTGAGCCTTCAATCAGAGTGAGCGCAGCACCCTTGGACCCACACTGCCCAAGGGACATTGGTGCTGGGGTAGTACAAAGCCCGACAGGAGAGCACAAGCCAGGCCAGCACCAGCTGGGACATCCTAGTTGTTGGGCTGGCTGTGCTCAGGAAGCTGCTGGCACATGGCATCCCAGCACCACACACTCTGCCCAGTGCCCAAGGTGAGCACATGCCCCATCAAATTGTTACAGCCTCAGTCTGCTGTGCATTAACCACACAATTTCTTGTACTTCCTATTTACATATATTTTCCTTGTAGAGCCCCAGATGTGCCTGGGGGGTGTAGAGCTCACCCCACCAGCCTTCACCCTCCCTCAGGTGAGACTTCTTGCTGCCAAGGTGTGGGGCATGATCTTGGCAGGGCTGTGGGAGCAGTGCTGCCAGCAAGGCCTTGTACTGTGCCCCACGGTCCCCAGCCCACACTGGGCAGGAAGGCCAAGAAGCCAGGGACTGCAGGGAAGAGGTAAGCCCATGTATTTCACAGCCCTCCTGTTTGCAGAGCCATCACCCAGCCGGCAGCTCCACAGTTCACTATGCAGCGTTTCTCAGTTGAGAGCTGTGACCCTCGGGGGCTTCAGGCAGGCAGGGGAAGAACCGCTCAGCCCATGGGCAAGGCACGAAGTGCCTACATCCCGTTGGTGCCTCGAGGGGGGATGAGCCCAGCAGCCACCAAGCGCCTTTCATTCATTAGGAAGTTGAAGGTTGCACATGCATTTGCCTGTGAATAGAAAAGGGGGTGAGTGAAACTCTGTCCCTCAGAAAGGAGTCGGCTCTTCCCCACGAGGTACGTGACCCCTTCCCTCCCTTTCAATGGGGTGCTGCCTGTGCTCATCCGTCCTTACCGTGTCCTGCACCTCCACAGCAATCCCGCACTCCCGCATCTGCTTCAGCGTGGCGGGGTGGAGCCGCTCCACCCTGTCCCCTGTGCCCAGCACCAGGATCTCTGCAACCAGGGAACGACAAAGGTGGGCAGGGCAGCATTCGAGCTGCCTCGGCCCAGACCTGCCCTCCCTGCATGGACCAAGGGCTCCCGCACAGCTACCCCGACAGGAGCCCCAAGGGAGGGCAGCCCGCGCCCCTCCTGCGCCGCGTACCTATCTGGGGCTCCAGCAGCCGGAACAGCGACAGACTCTCGTACGAGATGTCCCGGTGGGAGCCAACCTGCGGGGACACGGCGGGCGTTGAAGGGGGCTGTGCGCGGTGGGAAACGGCAACCCCCGCCCCGCCGCCGGGCACTCACGTTCCACTGGAGGATGCTGCGGGGCAGCACGGCGCAGGGCCCCACCACCACGTCTCCGCTGATGGTGAAGCCGCGAGAGCTGTAGCTCTCGATGAACATGATGTTGGGGGACTCCGGCTCCAGCACCATCACCCGCGTCCGTTGGTACATCTCATCATCCGCCGGCGTGAGTCGGTGACCCCGGCACGGCGCTCTGCGGGGAGAGTGAGCAGCTGGGACACGTGGGACCCACGGACAGGCCCCGGAGACCCTACGGCATCCTACAGGCACCTTCCCCGGTCACAGGGCAACCGCGGTGCCGGTTGTCGGTGCCGGTACCTGCCCGCGGCCCGCCCCACCGCCGGCACGAGCCGCCGCAGAGCCGCCACCGCCGCCATGGCCGCGACACCGCCGGAACCGCCGAGCGGCCCCGCCCCCGCCGCTACCGCCCCCCGGCGGCCGGGGTCGGGACAGCGCCACCGGGGGAGCGGGGTCGGACCGGGGCTCCCGGGCAGCCTTCGGGGTGCCCCCGCCCGCGGGTCCTGAGGGGCGGGAGGGCAGCGACACTCACGCACCCTCTGCCCTCGGGTCCGGGCGCGCCCCGACCTGCAGAGCCCAGGTGGGCGCCGGAGCGAAACCGAAAGCGGCCGGCGGCGGGGCGGGAGTGGCACGGCGGGAGCGGGGTGTCCCGCTGGAAACCTCCCCGACCCCGCCGCCGGGAGGGGCTGCGGACCGGCCCGGGCTGCTGTGCCGAAGGCTGCGGGGCCGGAGGTGAGAGGGGAGCGGGAGGCTCCCCGGGCGGGAGGGAGCGGGCCCGGGTTTCGGCTGCGCTCCTGGCCCGGCCCCGCCGGTGTCCCTGGGCTGCCCTAGGCTCGGCACGGCGCCCCGGTTCCCCGTGTGCCCCACTACGGGCAGCTGTTGCCAGTCGGGGCTGAAACCCCGAGCCGCCGCCGGGACCTCCCGCTGCACCCTCCCCCCTCCTGCCGCGCTCGGTGAGGCCGGTGGCACTGCGGGCTCAGAGGTGCCCTGAGACAGGGGACGCACGTCCTCCACCTGTGTCACCCACCCAGGGCCAGCCGTAGCCTGACAGTGCGGGGACTACCGGGAAGTTCCCCGGCAGTAGCGGCGGAGCATTTCCCTCCACCGTGCCGTGCCGGAGGGATCAGGAATTCCCACAGCCTGCAGCCTTGGCCAGCGCGGGGTCCCAGGGATCCGCGAGCGACACCGCGAGAGCTCCGCGTGGGGCCGGCGGGGTTCCCCACGCGGTTTGAACTCCCCCCGTGGCGGTGCCGAGGGCTCCTCGCCGGGGCCGGGAGGCGCTGGTAGCGGCGGCGCCGGACCGGGCTGTGCGGTCTTTGGGCGCAGGTGCCGGGGCAGGTGCCCTCCCTCGGGGCCGGCTCGTGTTTCCGGGCCCCGTCGGGGGCTGATGGGTTGGCACCAGTTGCTCCAGCCCCACCGGGGCTTTGTTCGGAGCCGTTTCCTTTTGGCTCGGCCGTGCCGCCCTCCCCTTGGCACCCAGCCCGCGGCGCGGGGGGAGCCGGCAGCACAACCCCGATCTCTGCCGGCACCCCCGATCACAACGGTCCGGCAGTGGCTCCCACGCATCTCCTCCGCCCCGTCCCCGCCGGTAAGTCGCCCTCTCCCCTCTTGGCCCACAGACTGTCCAAGGGTCGGGGTGACATGGCCGTGGTGCCTGTGCCCATCCCTCCGCGGCGCCACCGCGGGCAACGGAATCCCAAAAGCAGCTGTCCCCGCTGTGCCCAGCTGCCCTGGGGTTTCGTTACCCGCGCTCCCGCCACCGCCTCGCCCCACACGCCCCCGCCCCTGCCCACCGCCCTGTGCTGGGCAAGAGCCGCGTGTCCCACTCCAGCCGTCCTGGGGCTAGGGCAGCGCCTAGGGCCGCACTGGAAGAAGGGTGGTGGCAGGATGGGCTCAGCGTGTTGACTCAGCCCCTGAACCGGGCTGGGGCCTCTTCTGTTTCTTGTGCCCCCAACAGCTAAAAATAGCAGCTGGCTTCCTGGGAGAGTATGGGGAGCATGGCTGCTGGGCCACAGGGTGGATGTGGTCCCGTGCACCACGGTGGTGCAGGCTGTGTGACATTGCCAAACTTCCTGCTCATGCCGGCTCTCCCTGGCCGCCCCAGCACCCCAGTCCCTGCCGGGGTGGGCAGGATCCAACCCCTGGAGAGAGATAGCTTTGGAATGACACGATCACTCCCGCTGAGCGGGCAGCCAGAGAGCCATCGGGGATGTCGTGTCTTTCCAAAGCTCTTTCGGCGCCTCCGAGAGCCCTCCCCAAGCCGCTGCGCGGCCAGGGCCCACGTGGGCGGCCTGCGGGGACGCTCTGGGGATGTGGAGGATCCAGCCTGGACCCACCTTGAGTGGCAAGGTCCAGCAAGCCCCCCCCGGCCGGGCAGGGGTCCTGGGCAGCTCCTGCACTGCGGACAGTCAGCAGTTGGTCTGGTGTGAGCAGCGATTCTCAGATCACCTTTTGGCTGTGGGTGGTGCAGGGAGCACTCCACCATGTCACGGCTGGGGGACATGTTCTCACTCCTGCCCTGGGGCTGCAGATTATCACTGACTGTGGGCTGCAGCCTTGGGGCTCCAGGGCTGCCTGAGGAGCCCCAAAACGTGTTGTTGCGTTCCTGGAAGAGCCCGTGCTGCAGGATCTGCCCTCGCCCTGCTCCCCCCTCCCTTTTCCCACAGGCACACAAGCCCTGGAGGAACCGGTTTGGACCCTGCGGGCCCAAGAGCTCCCTCCTCCCCCCTGAGAGCTCCCTCCTCCCCCCACCCGCCACCCCCTTCCCTCGCCTCCACGGGGTGGGCAGGAAGGGCACAGTACAGAGGGAGGTCCCTAGCTCCCTGCTGTGGTGGGGTTGGGTGCTTCCTGCTCCCTACCAATCAGGTTTGGTACCATGGGGCTGGGGGTGTGCTGGGTCCTTGCCCTGTACCCAGTTCAGCAGCCACTGGCACACTTGTCTGAGAACTGGCCAGCAGTGTGAGGCCATCTGTGCTTAAACCATTGCTGTGGAGCAGCTCAGCTTTGCAGATGTAATCATGACCACGATGACGTGATCTAATCATTTCCACTTCCTTCTTCCTGGGGCTGATAAGCAGGACACTGCTCTTGTGCTGGAGAGGAGAGCAGCCCTCTGGAGCAGGCCTGAAGAACACACCCACAGCTGCTCATCGCTGTGCCCTGCAGAGCCCATACCAGGAGCACACGGTTGCTGCTGGTGTTCCTCAGCCATTATGTCACAGCCCAGCCAAGCCCCGGGGCTTGTGGAGGACAGGCTGGACTGGCCAGCCAGGGTCTGCCAGTGACGCCATACCCACAGCTGTGGTCTGCCTCACACACTGCCGGCCATCCAAACCTCCCTTTCCACCACAGTTCAGGCTGCTGGACCTCCCAGGGACCCTTGTTGTCCCCAACAAGCCAGGGACCAGGTAGGCTGTGCTCTGGGGTGGGCCATGCCCACAGCTGTGCTGTACTCCCTGCCCTGGGCAGCCCATTTCTGCCCAAACTGCGCTGACCCCAGCATGGCCTCTGGCTCCTGCTTCCTGAGGTTTTTAGATCTGGGCTCCCCAGTGTTGGAGAAGAGGGGACACCACTCCTACACACCTCAGGATGACACCATGGCCCTGCTGGGGTGAGGCTGAGTAGGACTGAGACCTTCTCGGGCCATTCGGGGTGCCTGGTTGCAGCCCTATGGTCCTGACCTAACACACCCATCATGGCGGCGCCCGCTGTCCGCCACACCCACCATGGTGTATCCGCGCCCGTCCTCCCAAGATGGCCGCCCTGCCCGGCCATTCCGCCCGCCACCAAGATGGCCGCCCGGGAGCTCTGCGCGCAACATGGCGACTGTCGGGAGGGCGAGGCGGGACGTCACTTCCGGTGGCGGCGGCGGAAGCGGCGGCTGGGCTCCCATGGAGATGGGCGAGGGCCGCCCGGAGGTGGCGGCGACGCTGCGGGCTCTGAACGAGGCCCTGGGGCGACCCGCCGCTCTCTGGGTGAAGGAGAGCGGTGCCCGTAACCTGCGCCACAGGGATTTCCTGGCGCCGCGGGCCGCGCTGAACGCCGCCTTTCCCGGCGGGCAGGTAGGCCGCGGCGGCGTGGGCAGGCCTCGGTCGGGAGCGGGCATTTGCGGGAAGTGTTTGATGGGGACGGGAGTGGAGTTGTCCTTTGTACGTGCAGTCCGGACCTCTCCTCACCCTCCGCCCGCAGGTGCCCCCCGAGGCCGTGTCGGCGGTGCCGTCGCTGCGGGGCCCAGCAGTGCTGCCGCTGCGGGTTTGCCGGCAGACGCCGGCGGGGCTGGCGGTGCAGGTGCGGCGCCCTGAGGCCTTCCAGCGCCTGCTGGGGCCTCTGCCCGGCCCGGCCCCCCCCGCCGCGGGGCCGCGGACGGGTTGCGTGGTGCTGCACTGCCCGGCCCTGCGCAGCTCCGCTGCCCTGAGGCCCCGCCACCTCCGCTCCGTCCTGCTGGCCGATCACCTGGCCCAGCTGCTGCGCGCCCAGGGGTGAGTGCCACCGTCCCGACCTGCTCCCGGCCCCTCGCCACAGGGCCTGCTGTTCCCAGTGCCTGCCTCACCCTCTCTCGCAGGGTCGGCGTCCGCCTGGTCCCTGCCCTCAGCGAGGAGAGGAGCTGGGACGTCCTGCGACAGCTCCGCATCTGCTGGCCCTCCGCCTCCGGTAGCTCGTCCCTCACTGACGCCGTCTCAGCCTTGAAGGCAGCGTTGGGCCGGTGCCCCTGTGCCTCAGCCTGTGATCGGGGGCCGGGCACAGCCGAGGGTGTCATCTGTAAGGTGCACCTGAAGAGCTTCGTGGAGCAGCAGGGCTTGTTGGGTTATGACCCCAATCTAGATCTGCTGCTCGGTGAGCCTCACATGTCAACAGCTCTGGTGTGGCAGTGGGGGTAGAACGGGTGCAAATAGGCCTGTTTACTTTCAGTTGTGTCTTAACAAAAATAAGGCGGGGGGATGTACACAAATGGCTTTCCCCTCTTGTTCCCCTTCAGCCAGGTTTGAGCCTGAGGCAGAGCCGATGGTGGTGGGGTGGAGAACCCCGTGGCTCACTGGTGTTCCTCCTTCTTTCAGTGACAGAGGGGACACTGCAGTCCTTGGCTGAGCTGCAGGAAGCTGTGTTGCAGTGCCCAGTGAGTGACCCCATGGCACTGCCTGCCTTCCACTTCCCAAGTGACCTTTCCTTCTGCCAGGCAATAGGATTGAGCTTCCTGTTGTGCTCTACTGCAGGCCAAAGGCCAGAGTAGTTGTTGCAGCATTGTGCATGTGGTGAACTGTGAAGAGGAATTCCAGCAGCAGCAGCTGGATGTGCTCTGGAGGATTTTGGATCCAGAAGCTCACACAGCTTTGCAGGTGAGCAAGAGCAACCTCTGAACCTCCTCAGTGTGGGCCCCAACATCCACCCTTGGCTCGTGACTAGGTTTAGAACAGGGCTGCATTTCACTCAGTTCTCAGCCTCTCTGTCTTTCAGAAACATCTTGTCTGTGGGCCAGTGAAGGTGACCAACCCCTCATCGCCCATTGGGGCAGACCAGTACTTCCAGTAAGTTGGTGTGCAAGGCACCTGCTGTTTTCTCTCCTTCTAAGGCTCCCTGTGGGCCAGCTCAGCCTACAGTGGGTGGTTCTGTCTCTCTGTTTCTCCCAGGCTCCGAAAGCGCCAGATGCATGAAGCCTCTGTGATAAAGTATGGGGAGCTTGCACAAGGTGAGAGTTTGCTCTGGGGCTCCATACATAGATGCTGCTCCATCCCATCTTCATTGCTCCTGTTAGTCCACAGCCAGGGGTGGCTGCACCCCTGGAGGCTGCTCCTTCTCCCCTCCAAGATCAAGCCAGGTGCTGCCCTTGCTTTGGGAAGGCATCTAAACATCCAGGGCACTGGCACAGAGCAACTCCTTCCAATGGGAGCCAGGGCCAGTGGTGTAGTGGTCCACAACTACTACCTGGTCCTGGCAGGGGTGTCCTGCCTGGGTGCTGGGGGTATCAGTATATGGGAATGGAGCGAGCTGTTCATGATAGCACCTACATTCTCCACAGATAAGGCCTGGACAGAGGTGATTGATACCCTGACAGTGGCTGCCATCAGGTTTGAGATGCTGAGCACTGCTCACCGGAGTCAGGTAGGACAGCAGCTTGCATGGAGCCAGGGCTGGCAGGTTGTGGGAACAGCGGAGTGCATCTGTGCTGAGCAGCCTGGACTGTGACTTCTCCCTGCCCTCAGATCACCCTGGACCTGGAGAACAGCAGCATCTCCACAAAGGGAACAAAGAGCGGTGCCTTTGTGATGTACAATTGTGCCCGACTGGCCACACTCTTCAACACCTTCCAGCAGGCTGTGGAGCGGGGTGAGCACCAGCCCCACCACCCTCCTCTGACAGCCACACCTGGAACCACAGGGGCTTCTTTGGGCACAACAGTCTCCCTGCTTTCCAGGCACATACCCACCTCTGCCACCAGCATCTGAACTGAATTTCTCCTGCCTCCGAGAAGAGGTGGGTGCTGAGAGGAGGAATGGGGGCATCTGTGCACCCTCAGCTCTGGTGATGGATGCTATGGGCCCAGGAGGATCTGACACTGAGACACATGATCCCTTTACAGGGAGAATGGCTCCTGCTCTTCAACTATCTCCTCCCCTTCCCGGAAGTCCTGCAGCAGGCAGCACAGCTGCCCTCACCTTCCAAGGGGATCCGGCTCACTGCCAACACAGAAATAGTAAGTACCATGTGCTATAGCATCTGTGGATGCTGCTCCAGCAGTCCCAGCCCAGCAGGCGCTGCCCATCAGTGAGTAACACAGGGCCAGTGCTGATAGAATAGATTGCAATGCCCCTGTGGCATTCCTGCTGTGCTTGGGGTGGGTGAAGGTTCAAGACCAGACAGAATTCACTGTGCCATGAGAATGTCTCTGCCTTGCAGGTGTGCAAGTTCCTGATCCAGCTTAGCATGGATTTCAGCTCTTATTATAACCGGGTGCACATCCTGGGGGTGAGTTAGGTGTCTCAGCCTGCAGCTTTGTGGCCCTGCAGTCCTTTTGGGGCTGCACTGCAGTTGGGGGGAAGCCATGTAGGGAATGGTGCCAGCAGTGTGATGGCCCCTTGTCCCATCCTCCAGGGGTGCACAGGCACCAATGGATGCAGGGCCAGCCCCAAGCTGCCGCCTTTCTCCCTGCAGGAGCCGTTCCCTCATCTCTTTGACCAGATGTTTGCCCGCCTCCAGCTGCTGGGAGCAGTCAGAGATGTGTTCCACAGTGCATTGGCAACCCTGCACCTTCCTCCTCTCAGCCAGATCTGAGCCATCCCTGAAGAGCTGTACCATGCTGTAACAGTCACCTACATACCACATGTAGGGGGAGAACGAGGCATGTTCTCCTGGCACGGCAAGGGGCTGCCCCAGTGACAGGCAAGGCCAAATTCAGCCCCACAGGCCCCTTCCTTCCCATAGCCCATGGTCTTTGGGGTTAGGTCTGTGCTCTCTGCAGCTGTGTCCAGTGTGGGACATGGATATGCCTCTCCACATCCACACCAGCAGAAAAGGGCTCCTGTGGCACCCCAGGAGCTGTGCTGGGAGTACTGGGGAGGTGGCACTAGGGACCAGATGCCACAAAGCCAGACAGACACCAACTTCACTTCCTTCAAAACTTTATTGAAGGGTGCTCCGTGCTGGCGGGGAGCTCCTGAGGCTCCAGGCCCCTACTGGGCTCTGAGCCAGGCCCCAGCACTGGGGTCCAATACACTTGTTGCTGGACAAACACTCTGTGTGTCTGACCTCAGGGTTGTCTGTCTTTCCTTCAGTCTGACTGCCCTGGGTCCTGCTGCTGTGTAGAAACAGCCCACTTGGCCTGAGATGGGTGGCATTTGTGGTCAGCCCAGCTACCACCCATGCCACAGGGTGCTGCTGTGGAGGATCAGCATCCCTGTCCATTTCAGCACCATCCTGAGCACTGCAGGGTCAAGACTGTCACATAGGGCCCTGTGCCAGGACACACAAGGCTGCAGCCCACCATGTGTCACACCAGTGCCTGACCCTTGCTGGCCTCCTGCTGCTCTCAAGCTCCCAGGGCCAGGCCATGTCCTCAGTGCCCTCCCAAGCAAGGTTCTTTGAGACCAAGTCTGGAAAGCTGACATGGGTCCTTCATACCTTGGAGAGGAAGAACTGCTCTTGGGCAGTGGGGATCCACAACCCCACTTCTTTACTGCATGGGGAAGCCCCAGGCTTGTCCAGGAGCGATCATACCTGCCTTCTCAGAGACCACTGGCCCTGAGCACCACAGATGTGGCATGTGCCACAGTGATGGGCAGAGCCCAAGTGCAAGATGCCCTCCAAATGCAGGCGGGGACCTGGATGTATCACACACCTGCCCCATTACTGGGAAGCCTCTTGTGGAGGAGGTTTGGAGGAGGCTGTGCCACACAGCATCTCCAGGCCCTGCCCACAGAGCACACAGTAGTACCACAGCTCCCCCCCAGCCTCCACCTCCCAGCAGTCCAGCTCAGCTAGGTCAGGCACATGGAAGAAGGTGGTGCTGAGGGGCACCAGCTCGCCTGGGCGCTGGTTCCACAGCGTCAGGCGCTGGTCCACTGAGGCAGAGAGCAGCAGATCTGGCCGCAGCACCCGGATCCCCGTCACATGAGCAGCATGAGCACAAGGCCTAGACACCCGCTCCAGGACCTGCAGGCAGGTCCCTGCTATAGCCTCACCCCTGCCCAGGGCAACCTCCAGCAGGCAGACATGGATGGAGCCATCATCACTGCCACTGGCCACCAGGTACTGTCCCTTGGGCGTCTCATGGATGTGAAGGCTGTTCACGCCGCAGCTGTGGGCCATGACGGTGACCAGTGGGGCGTCCAGGGCTGGGTAAATAGGCTTGGTCAGGAAAGCAGTGCTCACCTTGGTCAGAGGGAGCAGAAGAGCTGCCAGACAGCAGCACTCACCCAAGGGCTGCATCTCTCCCTCTGCTTGGTGCAGGGCATCCACCGCATCCGTGATGGGGCCAGTGATGTCCCAAAAGGCAATGCTGCCATCAGTGGCTGCACTGCACAGGAGGTGCCTCCTAGAATGGGGGGTGTAGGGGGATTCTCTGGCTGCATCCCTGAGGGTCCCACTGAGATCAGTGGAAGTGGCAGAACAGCCCCTAGGGATTAACTTCTCCCTTCCCTCTTCCTGCTGAGCTGCCATTTGTGACGCCTGTGATGACGGACATTTCTCCCCAGAGCCCATCAGCTACAGCCCAGCATTTGGGGCTCACCTTTCCCCTCCTGCCCATGTGTGCAGGAACGCCTCCACCTTCAGCACACAGCGCTGGTGGTGAAATGACTCTGCTACCAGCACCAACTTCCGAGCAGCCTCCAGCAGCCCAAAGATCCTGTAATGGAGCAGAGGGCAGTTGGCTGTGGGAGAGTAGGAGCTTCTGGCACCACTGCCCCTTTTCCTACCATGTGCTGTCTTATGCGCAGCTCAGAGCAGGCCACATCCACAGCAGCAACGTCCTGTGTGGAGCCTGCTCTGCTGCCATCACCAGCTCCATTCTCCATCAGGCCCCGTGATGGCTTCTCACCGGACTGATCCATCACTGCAAGCAGCAGCCAGGAACTTCCAGGGTGTTGGCAGCTGCTTGGTGCTGGTCCCAGGCACAACCGACAGGGACATGTACCTGCAGCAAAGATACAACACTCACCAACACTTCTGTGGCTCCATGGAGGTGGGTGGCCCAGGAGAGCAGCCCTGAGCATTTCCCTAACACCAAATGCCCCTGGAAGCCCACAGGACACTGTACAGGAATCACACATGAAGCCACACTGGCCCTGTCTGCCTCAGCTGAACCTGCAGCTGCACAGAGCAGGTATTCCAGTGGAGGCCCATACAGTTCCCAACACCCTCCCACACTGTGATCACTACTAACCCTGCCTTGGGCAGTCCCTGAGCATCACCTCGTCTCTGGGTCCATCTTGATAAGCTTGTGCCTGTTCTTCTTCTGCTCCCAGTGCTTGTCCAGCCGGTGGGAGGCCACATGGATGACCTGGCAGGCCACAGCACTCTCAGATGCTGTGTCTCCAGTGCACAGCAGCCGGTAGCACTCGATCTGTGCACGGCCACCTGCAGTGAAGAGCAGGGCAGACAAGCCCTCATCACCAAAACCCTCATCTCCAGGTCCTGTGGTGAATGCCAACGTCCTTACACTGGAAATATGGTCACTGATGCGGGCAAGGGGCACAGCTGCCCGCGAGTTCTCACTGAGCACCAGGACACAGGCTGTGGTGTCCTCACTGCCAGTGACAAACACATTAAAGGTGGCATGGCCGGGCACCTCCACAGCCCCCAGGCGCCGCACGCAGGTTATCTCCCGCCCGTGCAGGGATGCCAGCAGCACTTGCTGCTCGCAGGGCTCAGCCTCACAGTGGTACAGCATCACATCCCCAGACTTGATAAAGGCGAACATTTCGGCCAAGGGGCTGTTGCAATAGCTCCAGGAGCGGTGCCCACCCCCACAGGGGATGCAGTGGATGTTCTCGCCGATCCTGGTGCTCCACACTACGAAGTTGTCAGCATGAAAGCCCAGCACAAGCAGGTCCCCATCTGAGGTGAAGTGCAGCTCCTCAATCCACTGCAGCCCTTTGCAGGGCCTGTGCTTCTGCAGGACCTCCAGTTGATGGTCCCGCAAGCGGAGCTGGCGGTAGACACCATCCCGGCCAGTGCTGTAAATGTAGCCCCCATGGATGGTCACTGAAGTAACTCCTGTCTTCCCGTGGAGTCCAAAGAGCACTGACAGTGGGGACTCAAGAGGAAAAGCCTCTTTGTGCAACAAGCAAGAGGGCTCCAACTCATTGCTGGAGTCCTCAACAACCGGGTCACTGCCACCATTGACAATGCTGGTGCTTTCTGCAGCCCACTCCGAGGAGCTGTTGCAAGAGAAGAGGAGAAGGGAGCCCCGGCGGTCCCCGCAGACCAGGAGCCCTTCCTGGGGCAGAAAGGCAGCACAGGTGTGCCAGCGCTGCTTGCAGGGGGGCAGCAGGTACCGACCCATGAGCCGCACCCGGGGTGCCTGGCCTGGGCAGTGGGTGACGTCCAGCCAGAGCATCTCCCCGTCGGGCCCGGAGGCCAGAAGGGCAGCACTGGTGTTGGGGGGCACTCCGGGACGGGGGGCCCAGCTCAGCCCGTGCACGGGCCCCTCGAACAGCCTCAGCTCTGCGGCGGCCCCGGGGCGGCTCAAGGCGAAAAGGAGAAGGCGCCCGTCGCCGCCGGCCACAGCACACAGCGTCTCGTCCCATCCGCCCAGCGGGGCGGCCGCCAGTACGGCGCGGGGCCCGCCGGCGGTGGGGTGCAGCACCGGCGCCCAGCGCCCCTGAGCCACCTCGAATGCGGCCAGCCCGCCCGCCTCGCCAAGCGCCAGGACCCGTCGCGGCCCCACCAGCAGCACAGCTCGCGGCCGCTCCGGGGCCCCCAGCGCCGCAATGCTGGGGACCGCCTCCGCGGCCGCCCGCCGGGGCTGCCAGAGCCGGACACCGCCGTCGTCGCCGCCCGTGGCCAGGCGGCCGCCGGCGGGGCGCAGAGCAAGAGCGCGCAAGGCCCCCCGG